AAGCCATGAGAAAAGACAATATTTTTTTAGACTGCATTTAGTATATGAGAAAGAACGGGACAAAACTCATTGTTTTACGTTTGGCACGACATGCGACATCACGGAAATTCACTATATCACGTTTAGTACGACATGAGATAGGGACAAGAACTGGGACAAAAAAAAGTTTGTTCTTGTTCCACAAAAATAGGTGGAACAAGATGAGATAAGAATGAGATAGAAATTAAAATATTACTAATTAACTCTTGTTGATATATAATCTTAATATGGTATTTGTTTTAGTGGTCACCATTGCAAATCACAATCGTCACCACTACCGCTAGTCGAGACCGCCATCACCACCGGTAGCCACCTCCACCTCCTTTTCCACTACAACAACCTTCTTCACCACCTCCGTCAACCACCGTCCATTGACACCTTTACAACCATAGTCGGCCATCGACTATCACCATCCATTGTCACCACCACTACCATTGTTGGCCACCTCCACCTCTATTACAACAACCTCCTTCACTACCACCATCTCTACCACCATGGACCACCTCGCCTCCACCATAACCACCACCACCATCGCATACCACTACCTTTGTCTACCACAACTACTACCTCTACTACATCGGTCACAACTACCTCATCCACTGTTGTTGACTGCCACCACTACCAACCATCTTCACGTCTTCCACAACCATCGTCATCCCACCAGCAACCACTGCCTCTACCTTTATAACTGTCACCGGCCATCGCCACCACCACTAGTACTGTCGGCCATCACCACCTCCACCTCCACCTCCACTATCGTCACTACGTATACCACATCGATCATAACTAGCTCCTCCATCATTGTCGACCGCCACATCACTACTATCTACCATCTTCACATCTTCCCAACCACTATCGGCCACCTCCCATCGCCACCACCTCCAGATCCACCATACCACCACCATCACCATCGTCTACAACACTACTACCTCCACCACATCGACCACAACTACCTCCTCCACCAAGGTCGATTGCCACCAAAACCGATATCCACCATCTTCACGTCCTTCAGAGTCAACATCGTCCAATCATCTCCAATGTCTCTACCTCCATAACCATTGTCGTTACAACAACCTTCATTGTGCTTTAGCATAATTCTTCCTTTGTACAAATCGAGTTTTTTCAAGCTACTATCAATTATATTAAATTTTTCATTCAAATTTGGTACTATTATGTGTGTGTGTGTATTAATGTATATGCAAATTATGTAAAAAATGTTTATAAATTAAATTATAACTCATCAAATAACTTTTGGGGGAAACTTATCTAGTTTTGTACTATTCAGTCCATGTCGTACAAAACATCAGACATACACTTGTTATGTTCAGTCAAGTCTCGTCTAGTCCTACCCTTTTTCTCCTATTCAATCCTATTAAGTTCTTTCTTGTTCAATCCAGTTCCAGTCTAATCATATTTGCATATTAAACGCTATCGGTTCCAAAACATTAAGATGTTGTATTATGTATTAAATGTTAGTTCAATAGTCATGTAATTTAATTGTTTTGATCTATTTTATTTTACAAAATTATTGTATATTATGGATTGCTAACATTATTTTTACATTTTTAAATATTATAATTGCTTTTATAAATTAACCATTTGGATATTTTTTTAAAAGGTAGTGATCATGATATTTAAAAAAAATAGTAATTTCTATAACCAACTCATTTACGTGTTGCAATAATAACATTTTTCTTTACAAATGTATTTTATACAAGTCAAATAAAATTTAATATAGTTTGAATTTATATTTAAGAAAACAACACTATGATTGTTAAATGCTTTTTGTGAAATATATATATATATATATATATATATATATATATATATATATATGTGGATGCTCTAAAAACGTATGCTTTTTACAAATCACGCGTTTCTTTTACATCCTAATTAATTCAATGACACGTACGTATCCCTTCTTTCTATAAAAACAAATTTCAATTCTAAATTTATTTAAATATACAATTAACAAATTATGATGTTTCTATATAATTAAGGTTGGTTAATGGTTAGTTGGAGTGGATAATTAAGGCTATTTATTTAATACTTTCCCTTAATTCAATTACAACTGTACAACTTATGTATGCTTGCATATTCAGATGCATATTAATCAATTTCTTTACGACTTCACATTAGGTTTTATATATATATATATATATATATATATATATATATATATATATATATATATATATATACTAGAAGCGTACTCGCGCAAT